CAAGTAACAGCAACAAAAGACCTGTAAAGGTTACATTCCTTCAGCTTCTGATTTGCATGCCTAAGGAGTGCTGGCAGAGAAGAAAACCAAGGGCTGCTGGGCTGAGGGAGGGAGGGGAGGAGGGAGGAAAGGCCTTAACGCTAATTAGGTTTGAAAGACAGCCGGCTGGGTCCAGCCATGGCATGCTGAGAAGACAGGAACCCTAGCAGCTGATGCTAAGTTCAGACTAAACTCACTGCAAGTCCCCGGGGAAAGTCACAAGGTAAACCTGATAGTCCCTGTCATTTACAATCATTATCAGGCAGGCGGCTTCTGTAATTTTACTGGGGAGCCAATTAACAGCTCCTGAAGCTTGAGGGGGAGGATTTCCCAGCTCTCTGCTTGTTTTGAAAAGAGAAAATAAGGGTGCCTTCAAGTGCTGTCTGGAGACTCTGTCTCTTCTAAAGGCACAATGACTTCATACAGGGTGGTCACTTCTCGGGTCAGGCAAACGGTTGGAAGTCAATTTCTCTGTCTTAATTCACTCTTTTCTCTAGCAACCTGAATTAGCTTCCAGATGGGCCAGGGAGCCTTGTCTCCTTCTTTTCTAAGCTGTGCCAATGCTGACCCGTCGTCCTTTTACCCTATCTTGTATTCAAGAAAATGCCTGTACTGCTCATCACCTCTTAAAGAAGCCGGGAAAGGCCAGTTGATGCATGAAGGGGACGGACGAGGATGACCACTCATGTGGATTGCTCGGTTTCACAGTCCCCTGCTCACATCCTTTCTCTTGCCTTGCTATCACGGTGACATTTTAAAAATTTTATTTTACGGGGTTGGGTGTCTTAACCTGAGTGTATGTCTCATGTCTGTGCAACTTGCAGACAAGTGAGTTTATTTCTAGTGATTTTCGCCAGCGTTTACTTAGGTGGTTACCAGTAGCCAAGCCCCAGCCGCCTTCCTGTCTCTCTCCCCAACAACGCTGAGGTTACAGGTGTGGGCAGCCATGTCTGATTGATTTGTTTGTTTATTTATGATTTTTTTTTTAATGTGGGCACTAGGGATCTGAACTCAGGTCCTCACGCTTGGGCAGCAAGTGCTCTCACCCAATGAACCATCTATCTACCTCAGGATTTAATAGTATGTTTTTAAGACTAATTTATGGTGGTATGCTTCTGTTTTACTCATGTCGATTGCTTCATGGCATTCCATTGGGTAAATTTAGCACAATAAGACTATTTTTTATGTCAATGGACATTTTGTTTTGTTCATCATTTCAAGCAATTATATACATTTGTATGATAAGATACAGGTATAAAATAGTATAAGGATGTAAATACAGGAATAAAAAATAGTTGTGGAGTTATTGACTATATGACTGGCTATTAATATACCCCTCCATGCATGCTTTTAAATTCTCTCTGGGTCACAGATATTTCAATAATTTTATTATCGTATCTCTTTGCTTATTTTTCTTTGTGTTTTTATAACTAGTGGTTCACTGGGCTTCTTGAGTATGTGGGTTTAGAAGTGTCTTCCAATTTACAAAACTTCATGTTGTCAATTTCTTGCCCCCTACCCCACTGCATGGATGCCTATTCTATGTGCTTTAAACTTATTGATGTTTCATGAAGTCTGGAATATCCCTTTGTTTATGTGGATATTATCTGTTTTCCTTTGGTTTTTAAATGGTTTTCTGTATATCAAATCACTTGGGACTGGAGAGACGACTCGACAGTTAAGTGCACTGAAGTTAATTTGGAGGGCCAGGACCCACATGGCAGCTCACAACCAGCCACAACTCCAATTCTAGGTGACCTCTGTGGGCACTGCATGCACATGGTACACAGACATACATGTAGGTTGAATACCCAGACACACACATAAAATAAAAAGTTACAAAAATTAAAAAAAAAAAATCATGCCCACACTAATTCCTGCATACTTCATGACTTTTCATGGGATGATAATTAGCGCATTTAAAATTTTAATTACTCATTGTCTTCTGCTGGCTGATACCAGTGATTTGCATACTTTAACCTTGGGAACTTTCACATTCACCTCTTAGTGATGTTAATATTTTTCAAATTTCTTCGACTTTTTTACTTAGGCATTTATGTCATCCATGAAGAAAAGGTTTCTTACTTTTCCCCTACTTTTTGCTACGTCCATTTTCCCAACAGCCTCTGATCAGCTCATCAAGTCAGTAGCACGGTCTGGCTTCCATTACAGTCCTCAGAAGAACTGGTTAACTGTCTTCTGAGTGTCATGGCTTCTGATGAGGAGTCTGCTGTAACCCTTGTGTTCAATCTGCAGCCTGTGGTGTTTCCCCCTCTGGTTACTGTTATTAAAAAACAAACAAACCTCCGGGGCGGCAGTGGCACATGCCTTTAATCCCAGCACTCGGGAGGCAGAGCCAGGTGGATCTCTGTGAGTTCAAGGGCAGCCTGGTCTACAGAGTGAGATCCAGGACAGGCACCAAAACTACACAGAGAAACCCTGTCTCGAAAAAACAACAACAACAACAAAACAAAAAACAAAAACAAACAAACAAAAAAACCAAACCAGCCACTGATTTTCAGCAGTTTTACTATGATGTGTGTGTGTGTGTGTGTGTGTGTGTGTGTGTGTATGTGTACCTGTGTATGTGTGTGTATAGGTGTGTTTGCATGTGTAGGTATAGGTGTATGTGTGTGTATATATATATGTGTGTGTGTATGTGTGTGTGTGTGTGTGTGTGTGTGTGTGTGTGTATGTATGTACTCTGCTTATCATTCTCTGGAATTCTTGGATGTTGTCACTCATTAAAAATTTAACCTTCTTATCCATTACTTTGCCAAAATTCCTTCTGTCCTGCTTCCTCTCTGTCTTCCATCTTGGACCCAATAATACACACAGGTCATCAATCACCTGTGATTCCCAAGTTCTTCCTATAAAATGGCATTTGTGTATTACCTATTCACATCCTTCTGTCTACTTCAAATGATCTCTGGCTTACTTACAACACCTAGCACAGCCAGTATGTGTGTGTTCATTTTAGACGAAATTAGTATTTTCATCCGGCAGTTAGCTACCAAATCTGTGGGTGTAGAACAGATATGGACGGGCAACTGTTTTCCTAAGCCATCAACTGGTATTGCCATACAAGTGCGTAGCAGCCTATGTCAGATCTGGTCCTTAGGTGCTTACTAGTCACTTAGAACAGTTGTTTCCAACCTGTGGGTCACGACCCCCATAGGGGTCACATGTCAGATATTTACATTTCGAGTCGTAACAGTAGCAAAATTCCAGTTATGAAGTAGCAACAGAACAATTTTACGGTTGGGGGGTCACCACCACGTGATGAACTGTGTTAAAGGCTGCAGCATTAGGAAGGTTGAGAACCACTCATTTAGAGCAAAGTTACCATTGTATGACAAGATGGATGGAGGTGATTGAAGGGGTTGCTAGCCTGCCTGCTACTTTCCAGACAATGTCTTTATTCTGCCACTTGGCTAAGATTATTTTGAGCCCAAGCATCTTCAAATGAAAATGTTGACTAGTTAGTTGATGGCTTAATTCCTTATTTCTTACTGTCTTTCCACAACTCAAGTTGATCTTTCTATTGCCTAACTCCACAGAGACACTTCTCTTCCATGTCCTTCAAGGGAGAGGTAAATTTTCTCACTGTGGGTCACTTGACCTCTCAGTAGGATTTTCCATACACCATCACTGTACTCTGAAAACACGTTCTTCACGTTCACACTAAGGTGTTCAGTTGTTTGTTTTATCCTTTTTCATCACATACAGCTCCCGGGTACAGTGGACACATTCTCTTATCTAATCTTTGGTTTTTCAATATTTCAGGACTTAGCTAAAGTTGTTTCTTTTTCTCCGTGCTTATTGTTTTTCCTCGGCCATCTCATCCAAGGCTACCCATTTGAATATGTTCTAGATATAGATGACTCCATAATTAATCTCTAGACTGAGTTCCACGTGTCTGATGACATTAACGCCGAGAAACTAAGAAAGAACGGTGGATCCCACCTTCCTTTGCCCAGCTCTCTCCCATCTCTGGTCATGCCCTCCTCCTTTTTGAACCCAGCTGTACCACATCACCAGAAAGTGACAGTATTGCTCCTTTACCTAGCTCTGTATCCAGGTCATTAGCAAGTCTGGACAGTTTGCCTCTGAAGCTTACCCATTCCACCTACTTACTGCCCTTTGCTTAATCAACACCAGTTGGCTCACTCAGGTTCATTTCTTTACAACTGGATTATTTTCTTGACCTTTGACAGGTCTTCTTTGAGTTTATTATGAGTGAGATTTTGTAAAACAATTCACCCTGTATACTACTTCATTCTTTTTGTTTGTTATTGCTCCAGTATTCTCCATGCACAGAATAGTACAGATACTGAATTTTAAATGGATGCTAGTTGAATAAAGAACAAACGTGAACTCTTATAGTGGAGGAATCTTTTAATCGTTTTATAAAAATCTCTCTTAACTGAGTCACATATAAATTTATACATTCTTTATCAGAATGTATCCTGCAGTTTTGAACCATAGACGTGAACAAAAGCAGTTCTGAATAACAGCACCTCATTATTTTATCAAAGATAACTACATTTAAATATCTTCATGAGCAACACTCTAATATGAGACTCAGAAGAAATCTCTGTAGCCTCCTGCCGGGGAATTAACACTCTAAGAAGTTTAAAAATATTAATGTTGTTCTTTGAAAAGATTCTTCAGAAAGTAGGTCCCTTCTTAATCCATGCATTTAGAGCAGGCCATTAAAAGTTGAGTAGTTAATGGAATTTACTACTTAAAATTTTCCCAGCATTTCCCAAACTCTATCCTCACTGCATGGTTGCATTGTTATTTTTAATCCTGCCTTTTAGTAACCACCCTAAAAACCAAAAAACCAAACCCCACCTCATTAGAAAAATACCTTAGCCAGGTGGTGGCATATGCCTATAATCCTAACTCTTGGGAGGCAGAAGCAGGAGAACTGCTAAATTCCAGGCAAACCTGAGCTACATAGGAGACCTTGTCTCAAGAAAACAAAACAAAACATCATCAAAAACAAGGAGGGAGAGAAGGAGGAAAGGAGGGGGGTAAGGAGGAAGGGACAGAGGAACTGAGGGAGGAGAGTCTTCTGCCTGGGGCGATGAGAAGCTCTGGCGACCCCTGTAGGTGAAACACAGGGTGGAAACAGAAACCACTTTATAGCAGAGACATCAGCCTCCAACTCCCTGCTCTGTGGATTCTCGAGTGTGAACTAGGAAAAGAAGCTTGATTTCTCTCTTTCTTTTTGTTTTCTCCGCCCCAGAAAGATGGCTACCAGTGCTTCAGTTTCAGGGTGCTCGCAGCATCTGGGGTGGTGCAGAGTGCAGGTCCCTTGGTGGATCTGGAAAGCTGATCTTCCCTGAGATGTTATGGAGCGAAATGATCTATCACAGCAGGCTGCTGTGACTAGAAAGCAAAACAGGAGGGGGTGGGCTGTGAGTTAGGGATGGGCAGAGATTTGACTCTGAAGAGAAAATTCTTACTGGGTCAAGGCTGCTTTTGCATAATTCTATTATCACCAGGAAGAGGAGAAATAATCATATTAGGTGTGTGCTGTCCTGCTGGATGTGGCTTGTCTTACCTTGCGTTTGAAGTCCTACAGGCTTTCTGTGAGTGACTTGCTCAGAAGACGCCAATCAATAAGGCAGGTGCTGCCAGAGCAAAGGCGGCGAGTTTTTGATGTTGACAATGACAGGCATTCCTGTGCAGAAAGAAGTAATCCATTTAGATACAGTCGTGTGTGTGTGTGTGTGTGTGTGTGTGTGTGTGTGTGTGTGTGTGTGTGTGTGTGTGTAGCGTTGCTCTCTGCAACAGAGGCCGTTCCGTATGGGATGTTGCCTCAAGGCAAGTGGAGCCCAGGTCATCTATCCACATAGCAGTGGGAAATCCATGTGTCAGAGCATACCCTTGTGCCTTCCAGTCCTCTGTATCGGAAATGGGTGTTCACTCATTAGGTTACTAAGAGCATTGACTCTACCTCATCTGCTTACAGAGTCCAGGCATCTTATCGGTTTGCCCGGAGTTTCTGGCCAGCTTGCCTCTTCCTGGAGACCACTGCGGTCCTCCCATAGCAAAGTGTGTTCATCCCTGACTCTCCTGACTTGAGGCGGGCCTTACCAGAAGAGTCTCTTCCGATGGCCCAGGAGTGGCTAGGGAAATGTTACGGCTCTGGCTTCACTTATCCACATTGGGTCTTTCCATGATAGAGGCCAGGTGAGAGATGGTCTAAAGGAAAGAGGACTTCAAAAAGAAAAGAATGGTTGTTTCATGCTCTCTCCTTGAACAAAAAAAATTTTTTTAAAGAAAAAAAAAACCTCAACTCTTTGTCAAGACACAAACACTCTTTTAAAAATAAGTTATGCTAATCTTACATAATTTTGAGTTTTGTTATGACATTTTCACACATATATGTGTGATGTATTTACCCTTTCCAGATCCCCTCCCTTTTAATTATAACTTAATTTAACCTCTTTCTCTTCTCCTTCCCACCTCCTCTTTCTTCCATTTTGATACCATCGTTTATTGATGTGTGTGTATTGATTTAGATGACCCGGTGAGGTTCATTAGGGTTACATATGGGGTCCTGGGTGAGGCAAGGGGTTGTTTATAGAAGCATGGGCTTTTGAGCAGAGCTGTGTCATTGAGGAAAATGTCTGTCCCTCCCCTAGCAACCATTGCTGCCTAGATACTCAGGGAGGGGTGGGGCCTTGTGCCCCGCTACTAGCCGCCATTATCTGCCTCCAAGTCCTGGGGGTGACTCATGAGTGCTTCTGTTCTCATGGCAAGATATTGGTAGGCCTAGTATGGCTCAGGTCTTGTGTGATTACCAATCACAGCCGCTGTGAGATCAAGGGTTCAACAGCCATGTCATGTTCTGAGGATGGTGTTCTGCCTCACCCCATCCCTCTGGCTCTTCCATTCTTTCTTTCCACCCCATGAAACCCTCCTTCAAGGTTTCCCAAGCCTCATGAGGGTGATATAAAAGTTCCATTATGACGGGGCATCCAGCACTCTCTTATTCTCAACAGTTTGTCCAGGTACAGCTGCCCAGAGTCATAGGCCTGCCTCCTAGAGATTCTGTGAGTTTCCTACAGCACCAAGCTGGAAACCACATCCTTCATTCAGAACCTTTGGAGACACTCTAGATGCAAACTCTCGTTTGCCCTCTCCCTTCTCACCCCTCACTGAAGTCCCTCAAATGACTTCACCAGTTCTCTCCTCTATACTGTGATGGCTACCACAAGCCGATTCTAACCACGAAAGATTAACATGTGCTTTTTTGTTTGTTTGTTTTTTGTTTTTTGAGGCCAGTAGTGTTTCTCCATGTAGTTTTGGAGCCTGTCCTGGATCTCCCTCTGTAGATCAGGCTGGCCTCAAAGTCACAGAGATCCACCTGGCTCTGCCTCCTGAGTGCTGGGATTAAAGGCGCATGCCACCACCACCTGGCTAACATGTGTTTTTGCTTTGAGTCAGATTTCTACTTTAGAAAAGCAATCCCGTCTATGGAGAATCAGAGAGAGACAGACTGAAGGGTATGTTATCAGAGATGATATTATAGGCAAGTCACATGGTAATCTAACTGTTCTCGTCCAAATAAAAGATGATAAAGCCTAAACTAAGATAGGAGGTAGGTACGGTGAAGGGAGGACAGAGGTATCAATTATTCTAGAAACAGCTGGCAGGACTTATTGATTGATTAGATGTCAGGATGAGGAGTGAAAAAGCATGAGATCTGCCCAAGTTTTAGATGATGTTGTCATTCACCAAGATAAGGCCTGTGGAAGGAGTGGCAGGTGATGGAACACTGTGGATGTGAGCTTTGAGCAGGCTGAGAAGCCTGGGTGCCAGGTAGGTGGGACTAAGGCTTAAAGAAGCAGAGTTGACCGAAGTGTGTTTTGAAAGTCAGTGGATGGAGCTGGACTGTAGCAGGCTGTCTTTTGGGCCACCAACCAGCTCCCAAATCATGGCATAGAGACTTAGTAATTATGAATGCCCGGCCTTACCTTATGCGTGTCCCACAAGCTCTTATAACTTAATTTAACCTGTGTCTCTTCATCTATGTTTTGCCTCATGGCGTTTCACCTTTCTTTCATTCTGTATGTCCTACTCCGTGTCTAGCTGGCTGTTGGCTGCTTGGCTGGCTGGTCTTGGGCATCTCCCCCTCTTTCTCCCTCATTCTCTCTTCTCCCAAGCCTAGATTTCCCCTCCTATTTATTCTCTCCGCCTGTCAGGCCCACCTATCCCTCTACTGCCTAGCTATTGGCTGTTCAGCTTTTTATTAGACCAATCAGGTGCCTTAGGCAGGCAAGGTGAAGCAACAACTCATCTTTACATAATTAAATAAATGCAGCATAAACAAATGTAATGCACCTTTACAGTTAAAGTAATACTCTACAACATAAACAAATGTAGCACATCTTGACCTAGTTAAAGTAATATTCCACAACACTGGACACAAGTCATTAGAAGGTATCACCATGCAGACAGACTGCAGAAACATCATAAATACAGTATTTAAAGGACATACAGAGAAATAAGAGTCAGCAGAGGACAGGAGAAGGACTGGTTGGCACAGTGGGAGGAGCTCTGGATGATTAGTCAGGGTATTGAGAGAATTGATGGTGCTCACTGTAAAACACTGGGTCAAGAAAGACGAGGTGAATGTGGTGGTTTGAATGAGACTATCCCCCATGAGCTCAGATGTCTGAATCCTTGGTCCTCAGTGGGTGGCACTGTTTGGGTAGGTCTAGGAGGACTGGCCTTGATGGAAGAGTAATGTCACTGGGGGTGGGCTTCGAGGCTTCAAAGCTACCACCATTTCCAGTTCCTTCTTTCTGCTTCCTGCTTTGTGGTTTAAGACCTGAGCCTTCAGCTCCTGTGCCAGCAGCCGCCATGCCTGCCTGCTGCCAGGCTTCCCCACTATGATGGTGATGATGCTCATTCTCCTGGAACCACAAATAAACCCCCTGGTCTAAGCTGCCTTGGCTGTGGTGTTTAGTCACAGCTCTAGAGAAGTAACTAATCCAAGGGCTAAGAATAAAGGCCAACGGGTAGGTTTTTGATTAGTTAGAAATGGAAGGAAAGCATCCTATTTTCTCTTGGAGCTTGACTGGTTCGCAAGAGTGGGTGTTCCAGTTTGGTCTCTGTTGCTGTGATAAACGCCATGCAACTCAGGGAAGGAAAGGTTTATTTCATCTTACACTTCAAGTTCACAGTCCATCATCGAGGGAAGTCAGGGTCGGAACTCGAGCAGGAACTGAAGCAGAAACCACGGAGGAATACCACTGACTGGCTGGCTGGCTCATGCTCAGTTAGCTTCTTTAGATATGCCGGGCCCACCTGCTTATGGATGGTACTGCTGGGCCCTCGCACACCAATTGCCAATCAAGACCATTTCTCCCAGACAAGCCCACAGGCCAATGTGATCTTTGCTTGAGGTTCCCTCTTTCTGGGTGACTCTAGGCTGTGTCAAGTTGACAAGAAAAACTAACTGGCGTGGCACATGACTGTAATCCCAGCACTCCGGAGGCTGAGGCAGGGGGATAGTGAACTTGAAGTCATTAAGACCTGCCCCCCCAGGGTATTCCAGACCAGGGTGGGTAACAGAGTGAGCCCCTGTGTCAAAATAGGCTGGGAAGTAATAAATAAGTAACCCTACATTATCTTTTAATTTGGAGTGCTGTAACACATCACATGATTTTATTGCACAGCCTTTTTGGCTTATTCTGTGACCTCTTCAGTAGCTGGGTTATGAAAGCTCTGGACCTGAAAGCTCCTACAGCATTACTGTTATCAAACTGAGAGTCGGAACAATACCTTTTTAGCCCAGCAAGGCACTTGAAATGGCAGATGATTAATAAATGTTTGTTGAATTTGAGTAAGTGACCCAGTGCGTGAACTAGTCCATTCTCTCCAGCTACACTGCTAACTCCAGGGTTGGGGATTGTGTCTTCAGTTTGGTTACTCAACTTGCTCAGTCCATAGGGGATGCATTAAAGTCAATTTGGCTACATAGAGACCAAATATTGCTGGAAAAGTCGTGAATCCTCAGATTGAGGGCTGGATGTTTCGAGGTGAGTTCAAAATGAGCTGAATGTAAAGAAGAAGATACAAGTATCTCGTTCCATCCAATAGTCTTCCGATGATTGATGGGTTGATTGGAGTTTTAAGTCAGCATCCCGGTGTCTGGTGCTTTCCCTTTCTCAGTACAGTGAACAGATCCTGAAAAGAGATTCTTCCGCTCAACATATTCTTTAGCTGCTTGAGCCTTAATCCTTACTGAGGCCGGGATAAAGTAGCCAATTAGTGTTGTTGCCCGGATTTCTGATTTTCCCGGTCCTGAAGCTGCTCTCTGCCAGCCCTCCTGTAGCAGTGAGCACAGAAGAACCTTCAGGCAAGCTGCTCCTCTCTGTTCCTCTCTGTAGTATCCCACAGCAAATGACAGTGGCAAGGAAACGTCTTAATTTAGAGCGTTGTTAGCATAATTGATGTTCAGATGCAGCGTCGGTAGAAACAAGCTCCGTTAATTGGTCTCTCAACCTACATTAGCTCTTGCGCTGTAACCAATTAGGCAGGGGCCAGAGGGCTGGAGGAGCTGTGTGGTTAGAGCCCTGCGTGCTCAGGCTGAGAAGATGCACCAGCAGGCAGGAGGGCTGCGGATTGCGGGGAAAGCCATCTGTCTGGTGAGGAGCCTGTGTCCTTCAGTAGGCGAAAAGAGGGTGCCAATGTTCAGGAGACCCAAGTCGGGCCTTTCCCGAAGGGGTGGAGTCTTTGAAAGTGACCTGCTTGAAGGGTTTAAACCTAACATTAGTCTCCGGCAACATTCCCAATGAACTAAGAACCCATTTCTAGTCTTCCTGCCTCTTCGAAAATGCCCTGGAAAGGAAGGACAAGAAGACCCCCTCCCCCTGCGCGCCGCCCCCGTAGCTCATTCAATGGAATGCAGAGGACAGCCCCGCGCCCCCCCCCCCCGCGCCCCCTAAAGCTGAGTCTGATGAATCAGAATCTACCGTGTCACAAGATCCCCAGGTGTTCCCCATGCCCCTTTACAGCCCTGCAGTCACAGAGAGCTTTCCATGGAAAGCAGCGGTCCATGCATTTGCCTAGTGGCCACAGCTGCTTCCTGTCTGTAAAAGCAGAGCTGAGACGTTGAAAGGGTGACCTAAGTAAGGCCTGTAAGCCTAAACTATTGCTCTTTGCAGAAAAAGTTTTGAGGAGCCTGTCTAGAAGTTCAGGTGATATTTCTGTTAGTTCTCGAGGACAATGTGCACCAGCTCTTTACCTTATCTCAGTATTCTCATAGATATTGTAGACTCAGGAGTAAATGGATGTTACCTGACGATGATCTCAACTGTAGGAACTTAGAAGGTGACTCGGACTTCAGTGGAGGCTGGCAAAAACTTTCAACTTCCTCCTATGACTGAGTCAAATGCTAAAAATCTAAAATGTCCTTTCAATCTATTTCCTACAATGAAGAAAAATGAGAAGCTGGCATTAGTAAGAAAGCAGCCATCAGTTTTTATTCTGGGCATGCTTGGAAGGGTAATTGTGATGAGGAATATAACATTTCTAAATATACCGAAAGGTCACTTTCATTTTACTGACATACATTGGGCATAATTTTATACCTAGCGAATTACTCCAAGTGACTACTTTCTCTGCTCTTATTTTCCCACAGTGTGAAATGTTAGAGACATAGGTTCTGGCTTCTTCTCCTCCTCCTCCCCTTCATCTTCCTCCTCCTTCTCCTCCTCCTCCTTCCTTTGTAGAGAAAGATGTTTGATAAACCAACATGGCTGAAATATTTTGATAGGAGTTCCGGGTTTGTAGCCCATAGATACATACATACAAGAGTACTAAAGAGGATTCTTTTTGTGTCTTCAGAACCCTTGGAGTTTTGCTCTCAGAGTCTGTACACACACACACACACACACACACACACCCCGCGTCACATCACAAAAGCTGGGAGGTAGCCTTATGACTTCAGACACACGCATCAATCATAATTGCGGCAGCGCCAGCAGCCATGTGACTGTGTAAAGACCTCAACAGCCTTCTGGCACTTAAGGGGGAGAAAAAAGCATCTAATTAATCACAGGTGAAACAGCTTGGGCTGACTCCAAACGCCCCTGAATTGACTGCCAAGCTTTGATGCTAATTTTCTTTCTAAGTAACCCCCTAAAGAAATTTACAATTAGGTATTTAAAGTCATGAATAAAGAGATGCTTGGGAAGAGGGAAATAAGGACTTGGGGGGGGGTGTCTACATTTACATCCTGTTATAAATGTATCAGGGTGTGCATCATTTGTGGACCCCAACTTAAAGGTCCTCAAATAGATTTCTTCTGGAGAGTATTCGAACAGTCAATGTTTTGAGAGACGTTGAAGTATATAAATGAGTCTGGGAACAGGTTATTCAGCTAAGCCTGGAAGGCAGGGAAGGAAATATACTTGTTGCCAGATCCTTGCTCTTGACTTTTTTTTTTAAAAGCCACAGTTGGTGTGCTTTGGGGCGGGGGCAATAGTCTGTCTACTTGAGCTGACTGGATAATATTACTGGATTTCTACAACTGGGTTTCATGTGGAGATTTCATCTTCCTCCAATTCCTCATGCTTCTGCTGGGGTAGGTCTTAAGTTTCTTGTTTTGATTGGATGGAAAGAGATTGTATGTATGTGTATGTATGTATGTATGTATGTATGTATGTATGTATGTATGTGTGTATGTAGTGGTGTGTTCAGTTTGGAAATGTTCAAGAAAGGACATTGGATTTCACAGTTCTGTCTCTGTTGCCTAGTATCTGACTATAGCAAGACCAGGGGCAGGAGTGTTTGCTAATAGGTTATTTTTGGTTACAAAATTAAATAGCAGTCCTCCATATTAAGCAGTGCGTTAAAGATATGTCCCTAAATCCCCACATGCCCAGAACTCCAATCTTGCTGAAAATTTTTGCAAGTAACTATTTTTTGTCTTAATAAATCAAGTGTGAAGTGTATAATGGTTTTTTAATAATTCAGAACCTTGAGTTTTTGAGTGAAAAAGTTCTTTACTTTGATTTATACCAACCCAGTGAGAGAGTTTACAAGCTTTCTACAAACATGCTCAAAACAGGTCATTATGTCTCTGCCATGTCTAGGGGCTGGAGCCTTCGGGCTTATTATAGATTGTTGGTGTATGCTTGCATTCTGGGGTATGTAAAGGTGATATGCAGGGCTGGATGCATAGCTCAGTGATGGAACACCTCCCCAGCACTCTGAGAGCCTTGGGTTTTACCTCCAGCAACTGAAAACATTTGAGGGTGTGTAGAAAAGAAGATGTGGGGAGCTCTAAGATACAAGTAAACCTATTAAATCCAAACCCTGGAAATTTAGGGTTCTTTTTCCTCTCCTAAGTTACTTATGGACTTTTGTAAGTGTTTTTTCTCTCCCTGGAAGTGAGAGACTGAAGATATTTTGGGGTTTGGACTAGGAAGGAAGGAAAGAGGTTTTTATAGCCTCCAGCTTTGTTTATGAGCCAAGGGCACTGAGGCTCGGAGAGGTAAAGAGGTGGGCAAAGGCTTGCAACCACCTAATGAGTAATTAAGATAACAGGCATTGAAGCCAGACTTGTCTACACTTGTAAACTGTGTCTGCTGTTTGCTAGTTGAGTAACTGCCTGCCTGCTGAGCATCTTGTACAGATAAAAAAAAAAAAAAAAAAGGAAAACTACAGCATCCTTGAGGTCAAGATTCATCTGAGACATTCAGTGTGATACCCAAGATGTGAAGACAACGACCATCGCTAAGTTCTTACTAATTTCATTATTCACTTATTTCAAAGGTTCTTGGATTTCAGTATAGTCTTATATTTATTTAATAGATTGATTTGTTGGTCACAATCCCTTACTGCTGTCTTCAGCAGGTGGGGCCATCGTCAAAGGTAGGAAAAAGTCAGACAGACAAGTGCGTTGGATGCTCCAGTCTAGAGGAACTAGGTCAGAGTTCAATTCCTCAGTCGGGAGAAAAAAAAACCCTAAATCTTAGGAGGCCCTTAGATGCTTTTCCTCTTCAAGGCCACACAGAATGATAAGCACTTTGCAACTCATTTCTGATGAAGGACTAAAGATTCTGTGTGCAGAGAAAATAATTTCAGAACATCAGTGCACCCCACTAGGGAGGCGGGAAATAAGAAAGGGAGTCATTTGGGGTCAATTTTAGCTCCTCAGGCCCTAGCCAAAGTCCAAGTCAGCCCTTTACTGGGCCCCAGGCTCTTCCCAGTCCCCAAAGGCCCAGGGCTTGGCTCCTCTTTGAGCCGCTATCTAAAAAGGCTGGGGGTGGGGGGGAGTTGGAGAATCCTGCCAAATCGGAATTAAAAATGACAAAACAGCTGATTAGATCTGAGGTGACAAGAAAGAGAAATAAAAGCCATTAGAGCCCATTTGCAGCTCGCCTGTAGCCCAGTGAGTCTCAAGGCGTTCCCTTGAAAATTATTAACGGCCCGACAGTGTTTTCCGCACCGGAATCTGATACGCGAAGTTAACACCCGGCTCCGCACACCGCACAGAGATGCAGAGAGGGACCTGCCCTCATTTATTTCACTACACAGATTTGATGAGACACCCTAATCAAGCTGTCAGAGCGAGCGCCACCGGAAGCAGGCTGCCCTCGGAGGAGCAGATGCCCAGAAGACAGTTTTCTTCTGTAGTCCAGGTCAGCCGGCCAGCTGTGGACAGAGGCTAAGCCTGACCTGTCACTGGAGCTTTGTACAGCCAAGGAGCTTCAAGGAGTGCGTTTATACTTCAGAATAACTTAGACAATTGTAAGACTATTTTGTACTATTTGGTACAAAATTTAGCATCGGTGGACCATAATTAAAGTTTTCTTATATTGTTTTATTTATATTAAAAAATGTACTCGGGTCCATGTGTTTACATGTTATCTACCACCATTCTTGCACCTCTGTGGCCTCAGGAGGCCTAAATTATTTGCTATTTTGATCTTTACAGAGAAACTTTAATGGCTCAGCCCAACCATTAAAACTAACATTTCCGAAGCAAGAAGAAAAGTAACTGGAAATCGGGAAATCCCTGAAGAAATTTTCTGGACAAAGCGGTGGCCTCCGTTGAGACTCAAAGCATAGAAGACGAGTTCTCTGCCGTGTCACAGGGATAAACCGCCTACTTCTGAGAGCTACTGATTTCATAAGCCACTGGAGAGAAGTTCACCAGGTCCCAGCAGCAAAAGCAGTGTAAACAGCTCACGCTTTCAGAAGCTGGCACAGGCTATCAGCTGGGATTCCCTTCACTGTTACTGTCACGGATAAGAGATATGGACAGCTTAGAGATGACATAGATCCTAATTATTTTCTACCTGTCTTCAGTCAACAATATTTAATAAACAGGACTCTTCTTCTTCCTCCTTTTCTTCCTCCTCCTCCTTCTTCTTTCTTCCTCCTTCTCTTCTTCCTTTTCCTCCTTCCTCCTCTTCCTCCTCCTCCTGATATTTTGAGACAGGGTTTCTCTGTGTAGCCCTGGCTGTCCTGGAACTTGCTCTGTAGCCACGGCTGGCCTCGAACTCAAAGAATGACAATGAATATCTGGGGTGACGCTAGTGGGTGAGCCACCAACGCCAGCCCTCACAGGGCCAGCTGTGACATCATTCACTCCAAAGTCATGTTCAGAAGAGCACTAAGGTTCCAGGAGCCACCAGGATGATGGTCCAGCAGGATAGATATTTAGACGTGCACAGGTAATAGAGAGATGTAGCATGGGTCAAACAGAAAAGATTATACCAGCTAGAGAGGGCTTGCGGGGCTCCATGAGCACATTCGCTGGGCAAGTTAACAGAAAAGGCAGAAGTCCACATGAGCAGAAGAGAGGGGTCAAGATATATAGTTAGTGGGGGCTATTAACTGAGTTTGGATGCTAAGACAAACCCCTAAATTATTGGATCATTTCATTCCTTCATTATAGCAATATCTTAGCCTCGTCTAACTGCAATGACAAAATACTTTTGGTATTTATAAACAATGTACATTGGTTTTCCCAACAACTGAGAAATCCATAACCAAAGTGCTAGCAGATTCAGGGGCTGAGGGAGAGCTCTTCCCTACACATGGTGCTTCCTTATGGAGTCTTCATATTCCAGAAAGAGCAGGAAGGGTGTGTGTGTGTGTGTGTGTGTGTGTGTGTGTGTGTGGCAAACACAGCCCTTCAGACCTTATGTAGGAGATTTATATTCTGTTTATCATGGTGGAGGCCACATGGCCTTGTCACCTCCCAAATGCCCTGATTCCTAATTATTAACTATCACATTGACCAGTCCATTTCAACATATGACTCCTGGGGACATTTTAGGTCTGTATCATATGAGTTGGTGACTGAGCAAGTCTCTTTCATTTCAATGTAATTCCCCTGAAAAAAAAAAAAAAAAAAAAAAAGAGTGACCAGTGAGCCGGCTCAGCTGGCCAAGGGCCTTGCAGACAAGCCTGATGACCTGAGTTTGATACCTAAGAACCACAAAGTGGAAGGACAGACTGACTCTCTCACTTGTCCTCTGACCTCCATGTGAGCACTGTGGAGTGTCTGAACTCACACACATACAGCATGAACACATAAAAATAAGTGCAATAAAAATATTATCTCAAGTGCATAAAGTAGGAAGTTGTGTCCTTCACTGTGTTTTGAAACAAAGTGCTACTTGGCTCACAGGACCTTGGAGGGATGGAAGGAGGAAAATGGGAGTTTTAACCCTGTTCTTTTATTAGAAGAGGTAAAATTTGGACAGTTTAAGCCTTTGACTAATGGAACCACAGAAATCTCCACGTTTAGGGCACTTTGTCAGTATAAATAACCTCTAGATTGGACTGTGGGATGCAAGTCAGTTGCTACCAAAAGAGGAGCCTTTTTATTCTTCTGAGTGCCTCCTTTTCCCACAGGCCTTTTTCTCTTCTAGAAATTTACTTAACTTCATTTTACGCATATCTGTGTGTGTGTGTGTGTGTGTGTGTGTGTGTGTGTGTGTGTGTGTGTGTATGTAATGCATACACAGTGCCCATGGGGACCAGAGGGGGGCACCAGATCCTCTGGAACTGGAGTTAGAGGCAGTTGTGAGCACCAATGTGGGCCCTGGGAACCAAACCTCCTCCTCTTCCATAAGAGCAGAAAGTGCTTTTAATCACTGAGCCATCTCTCCAGCCTCTCCCATAAACCCTTGAAGTATGTTTTTATTCATCTTTTCATATGGTAGAATCTCTTATCCATAAGTTCTGAGGGTCTCTTATCTTAAAAGGAAAAAAAAAAGTGGTGATGTATCTGGGGACCTCTCCATGGCATTGAGAAGGAAACTATGCTATGAAATGACTTCTAATGGTGTATTTTCTTTTCTCTGAATTTCACTCTTTTTAAGATGCCATTATTTCTGAGTTCCAAACAGGGCACCTGTGTCAAGCTGGATAGGAACAGAGAGACACTCAAGGTAACTGTTTTTGCAAAATGTAAGATGTAGAGAAATCTGACAGATACATCTAAAAGCAGGGTGGTGGCGTAACACTCAACCTATGCACACAATGTCACAGACACTTCAAAGCCCCTTCCCTGGGCCTTTCACAGCGGCTGGCTGTCAATCTGTACCATGAGGTGGAGGTGTCCACGGGGCAAGTGCTCAGTACAAACGCATCTCTATCCAGCACCTGCCCCTGAGAAACACAGAGGATTGCTCCTGTCAGTCGCAGTGCCTAGAGCTTCGGGGTGAATTCCTAGTAACTCAGACCTCTGCCCACTCTCCCACCTGGTCAGCCGATTAATAGAAGGCTGGCTCCACTAGAGGTCAGTGGTAAACAATGGTCTGCTTATCATCTTCCAAATGGCTGGACTGGATCTTCTGGGAAGCTGGGCACTGCCTTCAGCCCTGAAAATATCAATGGGGGTGGGGGTAGGGGGGAGTGCAGAAGCTCTCCAAGATGTAAATGTGGATTTCTATAAAGAGAGCAGATTATCCTCCTTCATTATGCACCCATGAGTGTATGTGTTGTATAGCGTAACCACTCTTCAGGAAAAAAGAAAGCAAAACCCTAATTGGCAGCATGCTATTGTTGACATTAAAAGCCTCCTTTAACTAGAACAGAGTTTATTTCTGCAGAAACTCATGAGAGAAGGTGGCTGAGTTCTACCCAGAAGTGTCAGCAGGTTTGAACTCGTCTTTCTCTCGACTCTATTCTCTGACAGTCACAGGAAGTCTGGACCCCTTTGACACTCACCGCGCGCTGACAGATCCTCCCCCAGAAGACCCGACAGCAGCAAACACATGCATTGTTCTTCCTGTCAACCCGCTATTGAAAGGTGATCCACAGCTGAGCGGCAGTCGCCCTCATTTGGGAGTGTTCGCGGGCATGACGCTGAAAGCTTATTACCCCAGAAAGTGAAAGCCGAGAACACAAGTTCCTCAGATCAGACTACAGCATCAGGGGCCTGTCAGCTGCTTGGAGGGGAGAGGGGAACTGTCTCCAGCTGGGTATTGAGGCTCCTCCTTCCTCCCTATGTGCCTTTCCCACCCACCTCACCATGGACAGCTCACCCCCAGAAAGCAGAGTCCAGAAAGCGCAGGGGTGTCCGTTACAGGGCTTTCAGAAGTTCTCCAAACATGTGCCCCTATGGAAGAAAGGGTCCCCCTGAAATCAAGATGTGACCCATCTCAGCATCATACATTTGGCAACGTGTAGAACTTGACTCAGCATTACTTGTTGATCTACCTTCCCTAAACCATGGGCTCCCTAAAGACCTATTGAGGGTAGGAGCATTGGCTTTGGTTGGGTCCAAGAGCTGGCTTCATCATCTTATTCTCAAGGTCAGCTCTCAGATCTTTCCACAACTCAATTCCCTCCACAATTAAAGAAAAAATATAATTCTGTACGTCTAAAGTTCGTGTGTAAATGCTGATTCCCAGGCACCTTGTATTTGACTGCGTTTAGAGATATGCTTCTTGAAGAGGTTATTGTGAGCAAGTGAAGCACCATTTGACAATTAGAGGACAAGGACCCATATGCATTTAGAGGAAGGACCACAAGGCCATACAAGGAGGAGGAGGTGATGGTTTCCAAGTCAAGGAAAGGGGCCTCAGTAGAAACCTAATGATGCCTTGGGCTTGAACTCGCAGCCTCTAGAACTGTAAGAAAGTGAATCTCTGCTGTTTCCCCTTTCTTAGGGCTCAGTAGCCTCAGCAGCTGATACCCAGTGCTGGGAACCAGAGCTCCTTCAGCAGGAGTGAGCTGCATCCTGTGAAAAACACTCAGAAGGGGAGCGGGGGCAGTTCTCAGTGGGTAGAGCACTTGCTGCTCTTGCGGAGGACTCCAGTTCCATTTCCAGCACCCACATGGTAGCTCACAACCACCTGTAACCTAGGGAATCTGAAGCCGGCTTTCTTCTGACCTCTGTGGGCACCGGGCATGCACATGGTGCACTTACATCCCTGTAGGCAAAACACTCTTCGTATAAAATAAATAAACTAACAGAAAAACAACAACAGCAACCAATGGAAAGCACTTAGAAGGTGCTGGAAGCTAGAGACCCTCTGGGAAGTGTGCACACACACATAGATGTTATAAACCATTCAGGCCTCCATGGTATGTCTGTGGCTCCAAATGTGTCAAGACCTTGAAAAATTGGTTGATGATTTTGAAAGAGAAAGAGAATATAATGTTCAGGTGACACTTTCTGAGGACATAGGCCATCCAAAGTCTCAGGAGAGAAAGTTAAAAAGGGAGCCCCCATCCCCCACCCCACGTCATTAAATAAGTCAGACTTGTGACTTGTGCTGTGATATTCAGGGACATTTCTCCTCCCTGCTCTGAGCTGAAGAATAAATCCAAATTTATTTCAAGGAAAATGGTAGATGGTGAGCAAGGAACGAGGTGCCTTGGGTTCTAGTTATAAAAACATCTTGCCCTTTCAAAGTCATTTTTACAGAGCGTTACAGGCTCAGATTTTGGCTAGAACATTCTAAGCAATCTTGACATGTCTGCCTTATTCTCTCTACTCTGAATGCTCACCCATCACAGTCATGGGCATTTCAGGATCTAAGCATCCCTCTGCATCCTCTTCCTCTTCACCTTCAACATTATGTAAATTCAGCAAGTTGAAAAGATCTTTGTGGTCCTTTCCAACTTAAAAAAAAAAATATTCCTCTGATTCTCTGAATCCTAGCACTGTGGCTCCCCTCAGTTCAGGATCGACGTCAGTTCTTCACTGTAGTCGGGCTTTTCTTTGGGTCACCAGCTCACACACACACACAAAAAAAAATGATCATGGAGACTTATATT